AAATCCCATAGGCCTAATACTTTACGTTCATCATTCTGTAGCAAAGGCTCGTACCATTCTCGATTCAACAAAATCTTTCTCTTTACAAACTTCCAATGAAATTTCTTTCCCGCCCATTCATGTCTTTTTTATATTCTTTTTGAGCTAATTTTGGGCATTCGCTCACAATATGGTTGATGCTTTCATCAACCTGCCTATACATTCGCCATTTACTTTCTCCTTGGAGTTTGTTTTCTTAAGCTTTTATCAGGCTTGTTGCAAATGCCTGATCCTGTGCTGCCATAATGGCTCTCAGTCTCCCTTTCTATGTTTTCTTTTTTCTAGGCTACGTTCAGACTTGAAGATAAGCCAGGCTTGAGTTAAGCCCGGCTCAACTTTAAGCCCGGCTTAACTTTGCCTGGCGTTCAGACTAGCGGGATTAGCCAGGCGCGAGAATTAGCATAACCAGGAAACGAGTTTGAAAACATTGGGCTCTAAACGTACGTTCGCTCACAGCGTACGTAATTTGAATGATGATTGGTCATTTTTTTACCGGAAGTCAATGCAAGACCCCCACCCCCCGCAGCGATTAAAGCCCGGCTTAGAAAAGTTAAACACTGTGGCACGCCAGACCTAGTTATTATAGGAACACAGCCCGGCTTGAGATAAGCCACCTAGTTAGTTATTTATTATCATTATTATTATTATTATTATTATTATTATTATTATTATTATTATTATTATTATTACATTATTAAGAAGACACAACAATAATTGTTACTTAACCAATATCCTGAGGCGCGTGGAACGGAGAGAGTAGAGAAAACAGTAGAACTTATACATACTGTTTGTGGTGCTGAACTAATAATAATAATTCATTTCATTATGCATGTGATTAGAATATATTTGGTTCAATTGTACGTATGGTACTGGTGTTATTACCGGCAAAAGGATACATTTGCCTAGGCCTATTTATTGTATAGCGAAATTGTTTTTTTTTTTTTTGGTGTTGTTTTTTTTTTTTTTTTTTTTTGTTTTTGTTTTTTTTTTTTGCAACAAACCTGATTAAAGCTGGAGAAAACAAACTCCAAGAAGAAAGTAACTTTAGGATAAGTTTGATCACCCAGTTGGTCAAACTTGCTTTTGCGTAGGGTTTGATAATTGATAATCCCCTTATCGCGTCGAAGCGAATTCAATGGCTGGTCGTTAAAGCGTGCGAATTGTACCATTGTAAAATAGGGGTATTTAGTTTATGTGAATGTAGAGAAATTTGTAGGGGCAGGTTCGTGGTACTTTATAATAAACAAAAAGATAACATTAGCATTATACTTCAGTAGGTATATATTTTTTTTAACATTGTACAAATGTGCCTATTACAGATGCTTCTAAGATGTACTTGCACGACCCATTGAAAATGGTATGGTCTGATTATCAGATCTGAAACCGGAGGAGAAAACGTGGGCCTAGCAGAATATCGTCATTTATATACTGTCATAAGTACTATATTTGTTATGTAAATACATGAAAAATTATATCTATACCTTCACCTACACAGGCACAAACTAAAAATCAAAATAATATTTCAAGATAATGCAAATAACATTCTAAATTTTAACTCCAAATTTAAGCTCCTTCTGCTTGACAATACCCGTCGAATATTCGTTCGCTATTCTAAAACATTGGCTTCTAAAATGACTTGCTACTGATTGATTCTTACTAAAATAACAAGTTCGACGTCATTTGTTAACTAATCAAATTGATTTGACAAATGTTGTAGGTAATAAATAAAGCTACATATTGCCACAACAATGCCGAAAATCGGCCCAATATCAGCGGAGCTACTACAGAAAAACTTCGGGCGGTTCACCACATTTCGGATAAAACCGTAGGTTTTACACGGAAAAATTTGAAAAACCAGGGTTACAACATTAAAAATTTAGACGAGATTTGGCAATCTTATGGATTAAAATTAAGACACTAAAACTGTTATTAAATTTGGAATAAGATAAAAGAACAATGGCGAAAATCGGACAAGTAGAAGTAAAGTTATGAAGAGAAATGTGCGAAAAAATAGCAAAAACAGCTGAAAATCGAACGTTTCGAATTAAATTAAATGAATTCGCGACGATCAAACTTATTCTAATTTTGGGCAGGTTGATGAAAGTATCAACCATATTGTGAGTGAATGCCCAAAATTAGATCAAAAAGAATATGAAAAAGACATGAATGGGCGGGAAAGAAAATTCATTGGAAGTTTGTAAAGAGAAAGATTTTGTTGTACTATACCTCCATGGTTGTACGAACATGTACCCGAGAATGGTACGAACATGTACCCGAGCCTTTGCTACAGAATGATGAACGTAAAGTATTAGGCCTATGGGATTTTTCGATACAGACTGATCATGTAATAGAGGCAAGAAGACCAGATATCATTTTAGTTGAAAAAAGGGTAAACGTTGCCAAATCATTAGGCAATACCATACGAAAACCGCATCGAGGAGAAAGGAATGGAGAAAGTGATTACATATCCATAAGCCCATTGAATCTGCCACTACTTCTACTTTCTGCATAATCCTTAACCAATTGGTGGGTCATTATTGGAGTTTGAGTCAGTGGTGGCTCCAGAAATTTGCAAAATGGGTAAAAAAAATAGTATCGTTAAATTTTAAAACTTCTCATAGTTTTTCGTGGGTGTTAGACCAGACAACAGCTGTATATATATTTACTTATTTATTTTTTAGATCGGAAATTCCGTCATTGTAAACATTGATTACAAAGAAACGTCATATAATATTTTATTAGATTTTGTTTTAAAATATTATTGATATTGAACAATAACTCTATTTATATGCTGATAATGAACTACAAAATATCCATTGTTCTAAGCCAACGTTATTGGAGACAGATAAAAGTTTTCAAATTAATTTTATTTAATGCATGTAAGCCATTCGTTGTATTTTTTCTCCACGAAGTCAAACATATGTTTAATGAACACAATTCGATGTGGAAGCAAGCATGTTCTGTATTGATTTAATTTGTTTAGAATCGCCATGTATATTATAACATCATCACAAATTACTAATAGTTTTTGATTAAACAATATTGCTTCGCTCAGAATTTTTGGATTGTGCGTGGTATTTTAATATCTTAAGTGAACTACATGGTTTTTGTATAGCTTTTTTAAAGTCTGAAATTTCGAGTGCGATGATATTCGTTTGCTATAGGAAATTTTGCCAATTTCAACCAAGGTTGGATGTATTCACTCAACATTTGTTTTCCATTTGACAGAACATACCTCCATGGTCAGAACAACTACAAATTACGCTCTCTTCGCTCACGACCCTGCCATCTACTTGTCACCATTGTAAGTATGAAGCTCTGAATCCGCCCTGCAACTCAACCTGCGTGACAGTCAGGATAAACTATGGATCCGCGCCTGTACCGTCCTGTATCGCTTAAACATTCAAAGTCACGTTAATTAAAGAATGTGATGGAATTTGTGCTATACGGCATCTTTATCATCATCATTCTCCCATCACCATCACATTAATATTATTATTATTATTATTATTATTATTATTATTATTATTATTATTATTATTATTATTATTATTATTATTATTATTAGGCCTATTATTAGGCCTATTATTATGTGTAGTAATATTAATATTATATTTATTGTTACTATTATTATTGCTATCATTATTTATATTCAAACAACTTAGCACTGAACAATCGATCATAAATCAAGGAGGCCGTCCAGAGATCGATCAATTAACGTGCTTAGTATTTAAACTTAAATTGAAATATATGTATATATGTAAGGTAAGATAATAAATTCTTGAAATAGTACTCGAACCCGACGAGCAGACAGAGGCAGAAGAGAAAGTATTGTTGAATGCTTTCAATTACTCTGGTTAAAAATTCATATATTTAATTATGTTAATCAAGATTCGATGAGCAAATAGAACGGGGCTGTGCGTTGTGCGTTCGTATTGAGTGCTCGCTAAATGCATACAACAAACATCACGGTAAATTAAAATTGACATGATATCTGTAGTCCCGCAAATGTATTATTATTAATATTATCATCGTCATCATTGTTATTTATTTATTATTGATTTATTTATATAGCACTTTTCTTTGCAGATACAAAGCGCTTCTTTCTCTGGTCTACTATTATTATTATTATATTTTCCTCAGAATCTTGGCAACCTATACCGGAATCATGCAACTTTTTGAGTCACGTACTCTAGCATAGCGAGTCACGTCTTCACATCACGATTGGGCTTACGTTTGATTATAGTTGACGTGTAATCATTTATTTTAATCATCATCAAAATATCAATAGTAAGGAATTATATATCCCATGGTTCTATTAAGCCTGTACCTCTTGTCTATACTTTCATAACCAAGTGTACTCCTTAGGGGTGGATATAGCCCCTTTGGAAATTTTGAGTTTATAATTCATAACAACATAAAACAAAATGAAAAGAAAAATTTGCTTTTTATAAATATGGTTTTTTAATAGGCCTATGAGAAAATTGCACATTTCCCTTAATTTCAAGTTATTACATTAACTTGATTTTGTATAACCTTAATTACTGTATCTTTTCTATAAGCATTCTGTTCATATATTCCATAATTTTATGATTCTTTGATTTCTTTGTTTTTTAACGAATTTTCATTATTCCTCCTTTTATTTTCACTTTCTTTTTATTTCACATTTTCACTTATATACTCATGGATATACAGAAACCTGTATATACATTCATGATGTTCACAATACATAATAATTGTGTTTCATAATTATTACAATATATAAAAAAACAATTAAAAGAAAAATTGATTATTTGATAATATTTCAACATTTTTTTTTTTTTTTTAATTTAAATTCGTTATCTATGTCTGACTCTGCTTTTTATTATTTATGCTACATCGGCTCATGTATTGCGAGTGAATGACCGACTATCTATCAGTAAGTAAAGTCAGAATCGAATTAATAGTGACCATCGATGACCAGCTACCGCACGATCGTACTTGACTCATCTTAAGTAGATAGCAACGACCGAAGTCCATTTGCGTTGACGACGATATTAAAATTGTACGCTAGAGAAACATTTGAATATATTCAACAACGGAGAGAGATTGTTCAGATTTCGGCTTCTGTTCAGTAATTGCCTATCTTCTTCTGTCTGTAACAATCGCCAGCCAGTTGCAGCGTATTGTTTGCTGTGTCTTGCATCAAGAGAGAATATTCGTTAGAGGTAATTTTATGTTCAAGTATTTTTTGTTTTTGTTTTGTTATTACCGAATGCAAATCAATCAACAAATGTTTACTTTCATTTATTCAAAACAGGTGGACTCATTATTAAATCATTTTCATCATTATGTATCTGCCTAATTCATTTTAAGTTTAATTGAAATTGATATTTTAAAGTGCTTTTCCCAGGAGCATGTTTAGAGACAAATGACTACTCCAGGACATTATAAAAAACCAATTTCCTATTTATTTAATTTCAAATGTAAAAATCGTGACCACTGACTTAAAAAGTTCATGGATGAAAAGTATTTCCACGTCTGGTGAACTTAAAATCCCCCCATGATCTTGCCAACTTATACCGGTATTATGCAACTTTTCGAGTCACGTACTCTACCTAGTAAAGAGTCACGTATACGGTATCCACCTGAATATTAGTTTTAGGCCTAACGTTTGATTTTTCAAATCATTATCTTCACAATGTCAATCATATATGTATTGAAGTCATGACTGCAAATTCCTAATTTATCATGTTGCAAAGAACCCTGAATGTTCCTACCAGGGGTGGATCCAGAGATGCCCGAAAAGGGGAGGGGCGAAAAGGGGAGGGGCGATCGAGAGACAGCACTACCCTACGGGGTCCGTGGCATGCCCCCGCGAAGCATTTTGGACGATCAATGATTTAATTTTCTTTCTTTCATTTTTTTTTCATTCCAAAGGGGGGAGGGGTGAGGCCGGCTCGCCCGCCCCCTAAATCCGGCCCTGTCATATCTCCAATTCTGCTTATTTTCTACTGTAATGTTTAAGTTATTGAAAACACACCAGTAATCCTGTTTGAATTTGTTGCTATATTTTGATGAAGTACATTATGTATTTGGTAGTATATTAGCATAAATATTTGTTTGTAATAATTAAGTTTGTGTTGAAACCGTTTATGTGGTCTTGTAAAAATACACAAACCTTGCCTAACTCGTTAGGCCACAGCCGAGGAGTGATTAAAACGGATTGAAAAAAACCTTTAATTAATAATATTGTAGGCCAACATAGACCTGAATTAGAAGGTGCTTAACTCCGGATAGTCACTCCGGGCTTAGACGTGGTAATACATTATGCAATTGAATGCATAATGGTCTGTTACGGAAACAAGAAGGCCACTTTCATATCTCATCAAAACAGCATTGTTATTATTAATGTCCATGTCCTTGTATAATCATTCAACAGTTTCTAAAATCGATCACAAGAAAACGTACAGTAATATGTTTGAGAAAACACGCAATGGTATTCATTATATTTTCTAGAGTCGCGCAAGCTTATGCTACTATTGATCATTTCATCATTGAAAAATTTGATGACGTAACCGTTTTCGTTATCGTTAAGTAAGCTTGCGAAAAATCCCTATTATTCCGTCATTAAAACAGGTTATCATGGTCGTCGTCAAGCAATCGATGCATAACTCTGATCAGGGACTATACAATGCTCTCTAAAGTTTGGTATTATTAGATACGACATCGAAAAACTTTCTCTTTAGTATAAAAATATCTGCATTGATTTCTAGAAAAAATGGGCATTAAGATTACTACTATCATTAGCCCACTCCCGTCCGTTAGAGAGAAAATATTTTCACCTTATAACTTTGCATTGCAAGCTAATAGCTTACACAAATATAAGTAATTCAAATATTGATATTGAATTTGATTGATCAAGTGCATGATTAAATGCAAAGATAATGTCGGTGTCACGAAAGCAACGCACTGAGCCCCATTATTGACCAACGGCACAACCTGGCATGTAAATAATTATATGATAGGGGCTTTATACTGTTTCTTGGAAACATGAACTGTAAATTAATTTAGTTTTAGTGATTAAGTAAATTATATGAACGGATGATTTTAATGATACCTTGCCCGTTTAGCCTGATAGTTGTTGAGATATTAGGCATAAGAACTGCCACCTATTATTAATAAAGATGATTCTTCTTTATCATGAGCTCATTTGACATTTCCTAATAATTTTTTGGAGAATTTTTGACGAGAACGCATATTGGCAAACGTAATCTGATATCATCCTTTTCCGAGTACATCCTGTTTATTTTCCTTTGTTTTCCCCCTTTTACATTCTTGCTTTTTTCACACTCACCCAGTAGTTGCATGTGAGTAAACTATATTCTGATCCTTGAGCAACTAAATTTACGCTAAGCCATTGGGACGCGACGGTCACAGTTGCTCCACGCCGGGGGTGAAATTAAGTACGCCCAGTGTCAATCCTCTACACTGCTCTGTTTTTTACGTGCGAGCGTTCTTTAAAGACTGGAATGCATTGGGTCGGCCAACGAATAGGCCTACATCCGCTTTAGTAGTGCGCTGTACACGGAGCCAGCGGCATAGCCGATTGTAAAATATAATCAATACGAATGAACGAATAAATGAATGAATGAATGAATGAATGAATGAATGAATATATAAATGAATAAATGAATGAATATATAAATGAATAAATGAATGAATGAATGAATTAGTGAATGAATTAATGAATGGAATGAACGGATGAATGAACGAGTACACAAAATCACGACTTTTACAGAAGTACCATGCAACGCTTTCCGTTTTCTTTTCTTTATCCACTATTCCTCCTTTCTTTTCTTTTCTATTATTTCCTTCTGTCTTTTTTCTTTAGGAATGGGGGAGGCTGGTGTAATGGAACAGCAGCAAATATCTTCGTGGCCTCCTCTTATTCGTATTCTGTACGAAACTAAGTTACTAACTTTAAATTGTGAATTAGGCCTATGACAAATAACAAACGGTCCTAATTTTTTTCAATTAATGATTTTCATAGAATTAATTAATAAGTCTTTAATATAGATTTAATTAAAGAAAAACCCGGGTTTTGCTTCCTGACATAAATTCACTGTTATCAAATGAAAGACTTTGGTGCGCAGGATCATTGTGGTAAGCTAAACTATAGGACGTGATAATAACGCTGATAACGGCATTCATTATTAATCAATAACTCTATAGTTCAAGTGCATAGGCTAAGAAGATCGATATGGACTAGCATCCTTTATTAATGTTCGTGCGCCAAGGGTTAAGAGAGTTTATCTAATGGTTGTCTAATGGGTTAGGCATACTTGTTTCAGCTCAGATTGGCAGCTTTATTCTCAAGTGTCGTTAAACTGCATTCACACCGAAGCCGAATTTCCGTACCGAAAAGCCTTCCGTACTGGAAAGCCTCCCGAACCGATCAGAATATCGAATCAGTGGCTATGTTCATACACGGCAGCTGACGGTTAGGAGGATCCAGATTACAAAACTTACCGTTAGTATCCGGATATTGCTAACGCTTAGCGCCAGGGACGTAGCCAGGATTTTGAAAGGGGTGAGGGGGGGGGAGCCGTTATGCGAATTAAGTAGGACCACGGCGGGGTCAAGTGGCGAATCCCCCCGTGATGTAGCGCACTCTGAACGTTCTTAGGACTGTTTGAGAGGATAAAGTGAAAATTGCAATAGACGCATTATAAGTAAGCGCAAAAATAATTATATAATAAATCAACAATGGCAGATCCAGGAATTCGAATGTGGGGTGAACCAGGGAGGGACTTTCACAGACCGAGAAACCACCCACCTCAGTCCCACCATGGTTGGGGCTGAGGTAAGAGAATTTATGATTAGGGCATCTCTAGATGGCCGGAAATTACACTCTCGCACTTCAATTTGAATATATATTTTTTTTCTTAAAAAAATGAAGGGGGAGGGGCTGTCTCTTATACACATCTAGATGTGTATAAGAGACAGGGATTATATCGAGTAAGAAACAATATTTAAAATGGACACAGATTTAACGTATAGATTTATGCTGTCTCATTGTGGACAAATTAATTAACTGTATGGTGTTATTTTATGCAACCGTGGACTATATCGATTGAGAAACAGTATTAAAAATTGGACACACACTTAGTGTATAGATTTATGCTGTCTCATCGTGGATAAATCCATTAAATGGTGTTATTCTATGCAACCGTGGACTATATCTATCAAGAAACAATATCAAAAATGGACACACATTTAATTTATAGATTTAGGCTGTATCATTGTGGAAAATTCATTAGCTGTAGGCCTGTGGTGTAGTTCTATGCATCCGCGGATAATATCGCTTAAAAAACATTAAAAATTGAAACACATTTAGTGTATAGATTTAGGCTGTCTCATCGTGGACA